CACATTTTGGTAGTTTCTAGAGTCAACATAGCCATCTAGGATGAATGAATTTCCGTCACCGTGAAGGGGGAAAAGAAGACCCTCAAACTGAAGGTTATTTTCAGTCTTTTTGCACCTGAACACTGATGACCCAACCAGGGAATTCTTTAAACTCTGTGACCCTTCACAACTTGCATGGACTTATGATCAAGTAGCACTGTGAGGTTTTCCCAGTGTAAAACCTGCTTTCCAACATCACTCGTCATTCTGGTAAGCTATAAATCCATTCCTGGAAGTAAGAATCTTTGTAGGCCACATGAGGATGATATATCAACATATCCATCTTTCACTGATATACCCTGATATCACTCTCAGAGCTAGTAAGAAGGCAATGGAGACCTGCCATATAAATGATTCACTTCACTTCCTGAAAGTAGCCTTTCTAGTTATTGAAGCATATCATATAAAGACCAGAAGAGACACTCCAGAAAAAAAAAAATCTACCCACTTAACAAAAGCCAACAGCAATTTCTAGGTAAAACAATCACTGTCAGAGCTCAGTTCAAAAATTCTTGTAACGGTGAAAAAACCATACAGCTGATGATAACCTCGGCTGTAGGAGAAATTATCTTAATAAGGTGGCCATTAGCTAAAACTCATGCAAAGTCAGGGCAGAATTAGTGAAGGCTCAGATGGATGGGGCCCGTTTCAACTGAAGGCAGAAAGCACAACAAAAAAAATAAGGATGTGCATTTAAATATGTTATTGCCTTCCACACCCACGCTGCCAGCTTTCTACTGCTCTTATCAAGATTGGTTTTGTTCAGAATTTGTTATGCTCTAGACTGGGGGAAAAAAAGAGGCAGCATATCGTTCATGACTTTGGCATAAATTAAATAATAATAATTAGTGAATTAGTGACGTATTTGATGTTAGTTGAAGTCTACATTTTAACCGAGTAGATGAATGACCTACTATGTGGTAAATACTTAAAATGGAAAGGAATACAGAACATGTTTCTGGACACATGCAAATATTTGAGTAGGTGTTTTCTTCACTATAAGAAAGCAGTTTCGTTCCTGAGAAGATGAGAGAAGTGGTCCTTTAGTGCTGAAATATTAAGCCAGCTCAGCTGTTAGTCACGGTCACCCATTTTACTAATAAGGAAATAAAGGCAAGGCATTAGGTGACAATGTAAAGTTACTCTGCTGGTCAGAGACAACGTATACGACAGACTCTGAGTACTTTCAGTCTTGTTGTTTTCCCCACCACTTCATGCCACTTGCTGCTTTCTAGTGTACAAATAGTTGATACAGTGCCATCCACACTTAGGCACAGAAAGGTACATCAATTCAGATTTAAAGGAAGAGGTCCCTAGACCACTTCAGTAATCTATTAGCTTTGTGATCTGATTTCTTCAGAAAAGTTGAAACATTACATGGGCACAGAGACAAAGATATTAATTTAAATTTTAATTGTAGGTGAAATTTAATGCCCATATCTACTATGTATTGGTCCTATGCCTTAGAAGCTCACATGGGCACATCGCAATATACTTTGATCTTGTTTTTAACATTTCATTGTCTTTTAATTCTTAATCTTTTGTTTTATTATTTTCTGTTCTTTTAACTTCCAAATGAGTATAAATACTTCTTTGATAAATATTCCTTGGCAGCAAAATACGCAGCACCTTTCAAAAAACCAAATTATATTTCTGATGATAATGGCAGTAAATTATTGCAATAGATGAGGGGAAGCCCAATAGTACCTAAAGATTGTGATCATTTCAGATGAAGCAGTGATGATATAAATTGCCAAAAGCCAACCATGTTTTCTTATGTGAATAAAACAACCAGTCTTTGAAGTGTAGGAGCAGCGAGAGGAGAAATTTGTCATGTGTAATCACCTGTTTTCTCAGGAGAGAAATACAGTACCTCCCCAACAACAGATCCCCATTTGTTTGGATGATCCGGATGAGGTGCAAAAGTGCCTTTTCCAGAGGCATTTGGCTCTTGCAATGCATTTATATTTGTTTCAAATGAAATCAGAGATTCTTTCTCTATCACTTTCCTTGCTGTGGGTGTGGTGCATGGGAAGGGATGTACACCACAAAGTCAGAGCACCCTTAGGGATTTTCACAGCACCACCGCTGACCAATCTGAATTGTTGATCTTTATTCATGAAAAGAGTTTCCTAAGGGAAAGGATATAGCTTTATAGCAGTCTGAACTATACTAGATGTTATCTGGTGTTGATAAGTACATGGAGTTGGGGGTAACAATTCACAGAGAATGCACTCTAAGTTCTATGGTTAGGCTTCATCCTTTATTAGGTAGTGAGTAAAAGACAGCTGATGCTTACAACTCCAATTTAAGAGACCATTTAAACAAAAATGGTTCCATAGTGAAGCGAGGCAGAAGGGATCCAGGTATTTCTGAGTTTCCTTATATGGCTGATGAGGAAAATATGGCTGATTGGTTTGTTCCCAGCAAATCGTTAAAGTTAGTGACACATTGTGACCCAGGACTCTGTGTACCTCACAGGCCCTGACTTCTGGCGGACTGGCTCATTCACTTTGGTGAAAAAGGGAAGAAAGAGTAACAGCACATTGTAGTGAGATCACATCCATCAACACTAAATTACCAACAGAAAGAGAGGCTTTATCAGGTGTAAAGTTTGTTGGACAGAGATTCAGGATGACCACAATAGATCAAAAAATTTGACATTATAGAAAAGGGAAACTAAAGTTCAAAATGCTTAGAAGCTGGTCACATGGGATAGAGACAGAGACCAAAACAACAAACTTATGGGAAACTGTCCACCTGGTTGAACTAGCAAGGTCCATAGGTGAAAAAAGGAAACTTGCTAAAAACCACAGAGTAGAGATACTGGGAAAGGTCAGATTCTTTCAAAAACAAATTTTAATGCTAACCAATATGTTTAACCAGAGAGGCATGGTATATAATTCTTTTAAACAGAACAATTATGGAATACAATTTCTCCTTCCTTCCTTCCTTCCTTCCTTCCTTCCTTCCTTCCCTCCTTCCTTCCTTCCCTCCTTCCTTCCTCCTTTCCTTTTTCATTTTATGTTGTTTTGGTTGTTTAACAAAATATATATAAAGCCACTGCTTTAAATATATGTTTATATGACAGATTTCTATAGCTAGATGGTAGAGAACTCCAAAGACCGTGTTTAATGTTGAGCACCAAGCACGCTATGGGTGTTTCTTAAATATAAAATGACAAATGCTAAATACCTATCTCTCATATGGTTTCATCTTGATTCTTTACACCTTTCCAAAGTTTACCATAGTTTAGATAAGAGCAGTTTCAGGAAGGCCACATCCAGCCCTTCCTGATATTTTTAAATAGACCTTACAAAACCTTTTCAAAAATATTTTTTTTCGCTAAACCTAAGTCACATAGAGTTGATTTGTAAATGTTTTGTCATTGTTCTAAGTTTGAGTGTTCTTATTAATGCAACAGACTGGCTGCATCAAACCCCACCATATCGATAGGTACATGTTAGCTTTCTATGGGAAAAAAAGCAAATAGCCTTTATCACAAATTAAAGGCACAGCTATTTTTATGCCATTTGTTACCAATTTAATGATAACATGTAACACTGGATGGTTATATAATCATTTTATATAGATTTGCTTTTTATAAGTTATTCTCTTAATCTTTCTAACATATATACAATATACATATATTTATATATACCCCTGATAAATTTTGTTTTAAAGGAAAAACATAAACTCCTTTCAGCCTTATGGTGAATATTAGAGGCTGTTAGAATTTCACAACTCCACTGGAGAAACGATGGTTCAGTGGACCTTACCAGTATTTTTTTTAAACACTATTTCATTGGTGTGCAATTATTTCAGATTCATTTTTCCGGCTGTTACTAACATTTAAATATATATTAATTGTTTATATCATGTCAGTAGGAAATCTAAAAAAACAACAAAAAACCCACAACAATAGCGAATGCTTAATTCTACCATCATACTTAAAGCAGAAACCTTTGCCTACGAGACAACCCTACTGGTATGATATAAAGGCGACATTGCAAAGATGCAATATGCACTAACACAAAAGATCTTAACTTTGCATTATCATCCTACATTATGATCATCTTTCATCCTTGAAACAATAGCTGCACTGATTTCTCTCTAAACACCCATGATGCATGGGGCTTATCTGTTTTCAGATATAGGGTCATGACAAACACTTCTCTGTTTCTAGCAGTAATTATTCAGGTAGGGAAATTAACATTTTGTAAGAAATCACTTTCATTGATGCCTTCCCCACCTCTAAGCTCAGCCCTGTTCTATCTCAAGCTAGATAGGAGAGGGGAATGTTGACCAGGGAGACCTCCATGACCCATCTGGTATTTATTTTTTGAGTGCTTACTGGTATGAAACAGTTGTTCGTTCTACCTTTGCAATTCTTTGAATCCTAGTGGCATAGATTGAGACACAGCACTATTGCTTTACAAGACATCTACTGTATCTACTTTTGTTGGGATAAATACCCAGTAATTGCTGCCATAGCGTCATATCCCTCTGCTGTACCGTACATCAAGAGGACCAGCACGGGTACTACTATTCACAGTGTTGCTTTTGTTTTTTGTTTTTTTTTTTCATATTATTTTAATCTACAGAGTAAATTATTATATATACATTGGAACCAGTTAATGCCCTTAGACAATGTATACTTGTTTCATAAAGCAGGAAAGACAACGCAGAGGGAAATAGGTGCCCAAAAGCACAGTCACAAAGGCTTCAGAAGTTCTAGATACCACTACAAGTCAATGCTGGAGATCACTTCTAAAACAATCAATGTTCAAGAGGAATGCTTTAATTTTGAGAAAATACCACTCCCTCCCTCCCACCCAAAAACCTCCCTCCCCTTTTTATAATCTTTTCAATTCACTATCAAAAGTCCTGGCTCTTCAGATAGACTTTAAACTATAAATAAACACTGCATAGTTCTCTTTTGTTTGTTTTGTTTGTTTTTGTTTGTTTTTTGAAAAATTATTGCAGTACAATTACTCCCATCTGGAATTCAGTAAGGAGCAAACAGCACAGGAGTGTGGGCGGTCCGAATGGGTCCAGGAGCTGGCCGCAGGAGTGCTGGAGGAAGCGCAGAAGTCTGGAACAGTGTTGCTGCTGGAGCAGTTCGAAGACTGAAGGGGGAACTCACTGCTACAGCAGCAGCTGCTGCTGCAGCTGCCAGTGGGTTTGGTAGAATTCGTGGAGCCAATGGCTTTGAAGGTTCTTTTGAAAACACTAATTTTACCTGCAAGGGAGAGAGGGAAAAAGAGTTAAAAAAAAAAAAAAACCCCAAGTTTTGGAGTCTGTACTTAGATATCCAAAATGGTAGGCAGCTTATAAAATATAGCAGTAAACAACTACAAAGATAAACTCACACTTGTGAGTTGACAAAAAAGAAAATGGAAAGTGTAGAGTATTTTCCCTTTGGAAAAGGTGGCAGGTATCTGAAAATGACAGATCAGGGATGTTGAAAGTCCTCCAGGAAAGTACTCAGCAACCTTGCTTTATTTTATTTTTGTTGAAAATTGTACCTTCAGAGGAAAAACAGAGAAATTTTTAGCCACCCTTTACATACACACTAACTATCAAGGAGCAGACATTTTTGAAGAGAGATTCATTAATGCTGTCAGCTGCTATTAGGCTATCCAAGAGTATAAACTGGGTGGCATAGAGAATGCTGTTTCTAATTGTGTGAAGTACTATTCAAGAGAAATAAAAATAAAATTTCACCTTCAATAAAGAAGTAAAGAAAACTGTCTTCCCCCAATTTTGACATTCTCTCAATCCTATTTTACAAAACCAGTTAATTTTCTGGCTAGTAACATTAGTATGATACCTGTTCTCATGGACGGAATGTTCCCATTTGTGGAAATGGTTACATAGTAATAGTTATGGAGTAGGGTTTAGATACTAATAGTAACCACATTGACTGCTGTTTATTTAAGAACCATTCACTCAATTGCCAAAAGTTGCATCTATGCTGGCCAGGGATAACACTCAATGTTGTAACTACTGGTGCTGAGATATCATATCAGCTCTGCACTGAATTCACAGTCTCTCAAAGAAGCTAAAATCGCATCTTTACAAAAGTGTAAAGTGACTTCATTTGCATAAAAATGGGCAATACTACTAAATTATTTGAGTCAACCCATGTTGGGATCTCATAATAGATGACTGCAGTCTCTTTTAACTATATTTTCATGTGTCAGCAGCACACAATAGCACCAGTTATTGATAAGAACTATTTTGGAGGTAACAGATTTCAAAATGCACATTTCAGCACATACTATAGATCAATTGTTCTTAACTTTTCACTGAGCCCTGAGTCTCTGATGAAAGCTGTGGCCACCTCAACCAGAAAAAAGCACATGTTCATCAATATTACCTTATAAAGTTGATAGGTTTCATAGATTTCCTCTAAAGCCCGACCAAAAAATCCAGGTCAGGACATTATACTGGAATGCTTACTAATCTAAAATGTATTCTGGAGTGATGGGGAGAAAGAGTTTCCCAGGATACATTTCCTCAGGCTTTCTATAGTGTCCTTGGATGAATAATGAAATAAGTCATATCCCTGAAACTGTTATCCAAAATCCAAACTTGTTGAGAGTATAAGTAACACCAATTCCTTGCCTCTTAAACATTACATAAGGAGATTGAAGAACTTGTTTTTCATTGACTTTCTTTCCTAAAAGTATCACTAACATCGAGACTAGATTTCGTGAGATTACTTATCCCACTTGAAAGAGTCTGGCTTTTCTCGCTTCCCTATATTCTGTGATAAACCTGAACTCAACTCAGGATGCTGGGCTGTGGCTAAAGGTGACAGAACACTGAAACAAATCAGGAAACTAATACTTTTATTGATGGAGTATAGGCTGGATTCTTAAATCAATTGTCATTTCTTAGATACATTCCACTTATTACATTTAATAATCTAAACTCCAAGTTCGGCAGACTGTGGGACATTAAAAACAGCATATTATCTTTTTGGAAGCAGAAATGACACTCACCCCCAATGGATGTGCTGCCTTCTGTAGTTTGTTGTAAGGACTGTATTTAGGTTTCGGGGGCTTCCCAGCAGCTCTGTCTTTGTGCCTTCTACTGCTAATGTGCTATTAAAAGCAATTAAAAATGACAGCTTTTTAAGTCATCAAAAAACTCTCACGAATATTGCTTTAACCTGGGGAAGAATATTAATTATGCCATGCAAGTTTCAGAAAGACAAAAATAAAAGGGCACACACTTTTGTCCTCAGATTCTGATGCTTTGATGATACATAGTTTTTATGGTATCCATTTTAGGATACTTTTAACAAATAGGAGATCTTTTTTTCCTAGCTGTTTCCCTTATCACCGCACACATCTCGTTTTGTAGAAGAGCATTTACAAAGAAAAGGAATGTCTGAAAAATTTTTTGTGCAAATGAACAAAGATGCCCAGACAGGCATGAATTTATTCCATACTAATATTTATCCTCACATTTGTACAGCCAAATGTCAACCCCTCAAATTCTAAAGACAAATAACAAACATACACAAAAATCAGCAAAAGAGTGTTCATATACATTTAAAACACACCACAATCTGAGGGCTGAGTCTTCAGTTGGCAATGTATATAGCTGGTCTTTTTGGAAGGCTATTCAGAGTATGAATGTAATGTGATTAGTCATCCCTTTAGCAGGTGGCTGCAGGATTTAGAAATACAGTTCAACACCATGTAATAAAGTACATAAAATAAAATAGCATGGTATAAAATTAGCTCTAGCATGTAAATATCTAAACAAGTAAAAATGGAACATTACTAGATGACCTTTAAAGAAAAGCAATACTTTTGAGTGGGAAACCTGGTAGAAAAAAGATCTGATACCCTTTCTTCTCCTAGTCTCCAAATACAAAGACAGTACAAACTCACTACTAATAATTTCTGAAAAGTCCTAGAGTCCATTACATTGTAGTATTCCTTCAACCAACTAAAATAAGCATGAATAAATAATAAAAGTGGTGTTCTATTGCATAGTTCCTGGGTCATTGTAGAGTCTCAGTTAATCTTTTCTTGGATAGGTGGTTGGGTGGATAGATGGAAGGAATAGAGAACAGAAGATAAATGGGTGGGTGGATGGATGGATGGATGGATGGATGGATGGAAGGGGAGATGGATGCACGGAATAGAGAACAGAAGATAAATGGGTGGGTGGATGGATGGATGGATGGATGGATGGATGGATGGATGGAAGGGGAGATGGATGCATGGAAGGGGAAATGGATGGATGGGACAGAAAAACAGAAATAAAAAGGGACAGAGGAAGTACACACATCCTCTCATAAGGGTGTTCAAATCAGTTTTCATTCCTAGAATATGTGCTGCCTACCTGTTTAAGTTGTGTTTCCGAGTTGACATGCACATCACAGATCTCACAGTGAAATGTTTTGTTTTGAAGGCCCGTGTTTCCCTTATTAACTGGTCCTTTGCCTTTCACTCCTGCCCTAGGAAAGGCTTTGATTGTCCCGCTTCCATTCCGGGCTTCTAGCATGGTTTTGTGCTTAGTACCTGCCGGCAATATGCAGAAATAATGAAAAAGGAAAATAATCTTAGCTAGTATAATGTATCTTCGAGAAACAATACAATAATAAAATTTGATGCCTCAGTTTAGTGCAGTTCTTTCAGGGACCATGGTTGAAGTATGCTCATGACAGTGTAGACCGTGACAATTTGCTCTCATCACCTTATATAGCATTATTAAATTATTCCTTTTTTCTAATGCTCCACATTAAAAACAAGCACCATCAATATAGTAACTAAACTTCAAAGTCCTGAGGTGAAATTAAATGGGTGGAACTTTGTTTCATTGCCTCTTGATGCTAATAAGACATAAACAATAGCTGATAAAGAGTGATTTACTTGCTAAAGGTATAGCTGGAGGTGATGGGTAACAAATGTAATCGGTTTAAGCTTGGTGTGTTTACAGAAGTGGCTCTAATTAAATACCCACTTTCTAAACAGAATACAAACAAGCTGTCTTGACTCTGTGTTTTAGATTAAAGAGGGAGAGTAACGGTATAAAGATTTTAATGATCCTGAAAACAGGCCATATTAGGATAGTAAAGCCCATACTGATTGGTTATGTAATTTCAAATGTAAACAAATGACTGAGAAGATGAAGGTTGATTCATAGATTAAGCAGATACTCTATAAATCAATGCTTTTTAATAAACCAATAGTATCTTTGGGCATTCACATGTAATTTATGTAACTCTACTTATCAAGTATTAACAACAGTATGTTTTTTTTTTTTTTTGAGATCACTGCAGTTACAAACAGTTTAGGATAGCAATTTTCTCTCAAAATTTTACTCAAAATTTCCTTTTTCTTAGGGTTGATAAATATTCATTATTTTTCTCACTTAGACGTGTTTTTGCTATGAAATTTTCTTTTATAATGATTTGTGTCCTTTCTGCCATTCTTATTTTTTTTTTAATTTTTATTTTTTTTTGTCTTTTTTCATGTCCGGCAACGGACCGCAACCCTCAGTGTCGCGCCCGTATCGGACCGGGACCGGCAACGGGATCACAACCCCCGGTGTTGCTCCCACGCCTCGCTCAGCCAGTGAGCGGGAACGGGTCTGTATGTGGGATCCGACCCCTCAGCGGGAGCGCCGCCGCGCTTCCCAAGCGGCGCACTGTAGCAGTGCGCCACCAGGCCGGCCCCCATTCTTATTTTTTTAAGACATTTTTAGTAGTTTCTCTTCTTAATTATATTTATTGATTATTGGACAGTTTTGTAAGCATAAGAAAAGATTCTTAACTTCTACTCATGGGCCAGCCTCCCATAACTATTGGATATTAATGAGGAAAACATGTAGAGGGGTGGGGGAGAGACAATCTAAGTCAGTGCAGATCACACCATATTAGATAAGAGACAATAAATATATAAAACAGGTTTAGAGCCACATTTCCGTGGTTGAAAATTATTGTAACTTTACTAAGTCTAGTATAAAAATGTGCATTCTTACAACTTAGACTGCCCACTTTGAATATCCATATTTTATACATAGCTATTAAAAAGTTTGCATCTCAACAGATTAAGAAAAGAGAAAAAAGTCAAAGTTTTGCAGGAAGATTGGAGGAAGTGAAACATGGAGCTGCAGAACAATGCCTCACTGGGGTTTGCTTTTGCCCATCTCCTTTGCAAAACAGTAAGTACAAATGATTTCCACCTCATCTGAAGATGGCATTAGTGAGAATGGAACAACAGCAACAAAAAAGTCCCAGAGAGCAAGAAATAAATACGTAAATAAGTGGTTGTCCAAACTTCTTTATCCCGAGATGCACCTTCTTCAGTCAAACTGAGGAGCTTTTGTGGTGCCAGTTTCATTTATGAAAATGCCTAAGAAGTCAATAGGAGATGAATTCTCATCCTGACATTCTTGTGGACTCCTGGTTTACTTTTGGTTAATATCTCTTGTGATTGGGAGTTGGTGTTTGATGAGTTAAACCTGAATCTATTAGAACACTGTTTTAACCTATTCAGCAATATTTGAGTCATTTATCTTGACTACATAGGTGGCTTGTCTCAGCACTGAGATGAGAAGAAATTTAAAAGATTTATCCCTAGTAGTAAGGCTTAGCAACAGCAGGCAAAGATCCAGAAAATAAAGTGCTTCCCAGAATATCTTTGGCAAGCTAAGCCCCACCTATGTCATGTCCCTAGAGGAAAAGTTGAAATGGGACATATGTAAATGTTTGAGAAATACCCATCTTCTCAGAAAATCATTAGGTTCCTAGAATTATTATTTAAGTGTATTCTCTCCTCAGAAGCTAGAAAAGATAGGAAAGTTAAATATACCACCCACTCATGCCTTACACACACACACACACACACACACACATTTCATAAAATTGTGGCAAGACTTGGGAGGAACTTCAACAAATAGCTTTGACTCTGGGGTTACTATTCATCATCAAAAAAGTACAACTTTTGGGGCCGGCCCGGAGGCGCTCCCTCCGAGGGTTCGGATCCCACATACAGACCGGTTCCCGCTCACTGGCTGAGCGAGGCGCGGGGGCAACGCCGAGGGTTGCGATCCCGTTGCCGGTCCCGGTCCGGTAGGGGGGCGACACTGAGGGTTGCGTTCTTTTGCCGGACCCGGAAAAAAAAGACAAAAAAAAAAAAAAAAAAAGTACAACTTTTGTGCAATATAACTTCACACATTTGGGAACAGATTGTCAGTCATAATTAAATAGCTATTAAATAATTTTATAAGATCTTAAAGCTTGAATAGAATATAAAACTCAGGAAATATGCATTCAATTTTAAAGCATTTACATTTTTGTGAGATAAAGTGTTGATTATGCAAACATAGTGATTATTAGAAGAACTCATATTTATTGAATCTTTAATACATTGCAAATACTGTGCGAAATTTTTAACCTGATCACAGCTGCCCTGTGCATTAGGTGCTATTATTTTCCTCATTTTAGAGATAACAAACTGACACTCAGAAAAGTTAAGTTACTTGTCTGTGGTCACAAAGCAAGCACTACTTGAAGTCCCTGGAAGGTAGAAAGTGGATTTCTAGCTAAGTCCCTAAAAATCTGATAAGAATTTCTAAGCCATCCAGATTCAGTTACACACACGTCTCTCATAGCACCTTTAATTTTCTATTTTGTTAATATAGTCTTTCTAAACTTGGATTCTAATGAGTCTTTCAAATCCTCCTCCCCTATTTTTTTCTCATAATGTTCTTTTCTGCTTAGTAGGGTTCCATGAATCATGATGCTTTGAAAGGCTGTGGCTCTCTGATGGCTGGTGATATCACCTCTGGTTTCAACACCATGTAAACATCTTGTGAGACTCTTGCCTTCTTCTGTGGTGGCTCAGCAGGGCAGTCACAAGTCTGCTTCCACACCTTTCTCTTTCTTCCTCTGAGCAGAGAATCTGCACGAAGCTAAGTGGACTATTTTCCTCCTATCACTTTTAAAAGGCTCACACTGACAATGATCTTCATGATTTCTGAAAGGTGAAACCATACTCCAAACACAGTTTAAATTCAGCAAGGCATAAGCCTCCAAGAAATCCTGTATTTGTTTGCTTTTGCTTGTTTGTTTAGTTTTGAGAATGTTAGGGACAAGATACTTATTGCTCTTATATCTGTGAGAATCAAAGTAGTGTAGGGGGAAGGGACTAGTTTTCCCTTTCATTCTCCATCATCTTTATGACTTCCTTTTTTTTAGCTGGCTCACAAGTTAGGTACTGGCATAAAGGAAAGGTAAGTAAGTAAGAAAATTGTAAAATTCTTTTTAAAAATTAAATAAATCATTCATCTAGGAATAGCTCATTAGGAAAATTGGGAAACTTTTTTTAAAAGAAAACAAAAAACATAACTCTACCAACTAGAAATATATCAAAATATTAATAATGGTTATCATATACTAGGCTTTTGTTTCTATTTGCACACCTACATTTTAAAAAGTTGGGATGACTTAGCTCAAGTGGTTTTACATAAAAATTCCTGTGGAATTATATACACGTTTAGAAATGCACATGGGTTTTAATGACAACATAGACTTGCAATACATGGGTGTGATATATTTAGCCACTTATCTAATATTAGACATTTGTATTATTTTCTTTTTTCTCCTATATAATTAGGCTGTAATGAGCATCCTACTGGTTAAATCTTTTATTACAAATTTGACTGTTTCCTTAGGATAGATTTTCATAAGTAGTATTATAGGGACAAAGAATATGACTATTTTTAAGTCTCTTGATTCAAGTTGCCAAATTACTTTCTAAACATTACAAAGGAAGTTTCAGAGGGACTTATTTTATAAAAAAAAAATCTATCTTGGTAGAGTCTGCAAAATTTGCCTCTCTATAAAATAAATTTCCATTCCTTAAAGTTTAATTTTCCTGAATGCTCATTCATTAAATGGTATTTAACAGTCTTTGACCAGGTCCCCAATAAACCCATGAAACTTCCAGCAATAATTTAGTCACCTTCTCACTGATTAGTTCAGTGATTCAGCTTGCAGATAAATGAGTAGAAAAGTAGTCAGTTTCCATATAAATAGCAAAGAGCAAATGTTTTTTGATGTGTTTATTTAAGTTATTGAATATGATAGCATTATATTCCAATTCTCGAGTGTCCTGAGAAAGAACAGTTCTCTTGAATCTATATACCTGAAATGTGTAATTGGCATCAAAAGCTTCTGTGTGCTCCTTTTTAAATGTCCAAATTGCAAATTAGTCTTTTGTTCCCCTGACCTCTTATATCTATATAGTACATATTTTCCATGTTAACTGTATTTGCATTTTCTCTTAGAGAAGAAAACTTAGCTGTATTTTATCAGCACATCAACAAACATTAATCACCAGAATCCAAGGTATTGGGCGACCTAGTAATGGACCAAATGACCAAAAAAAAAAAAAAAAAGAAAGAAAAGAAAAGAAAAAAATGTGTTATTTCTGTTAGCTCCCTGATTGAAAGTAATTTACTGATTCACCAGTGATGTATCTAAAGTTCAATTTGCAGAGGTGAAAGTAGAGAC